CCCAAAACCCTAAACCCTAAACCCCAAGCCTTAAACCCTAAACCCTCAACCCTAGCCCTAGGCCCGAAACCCATGATAGGACGGCGTCGGTGGTCCCTGGAGGCCGAGCGAAGCTTCGGTGGCGTCTCTTAAGAGTCCGGGGTCGAAGATCGTTGCCTTAAGGGTTTAGGGGTTTAGGGGTTTAGGGGTTAGGGGTCGAGGGGTTTAGGGTTTAGGGGTTTAGGGTTTAGGGTTTAGGGTTTAGGGTTTAGGGTTTAGGGGTTTAGGGGTTTAGGGGTTTAGGGGTTTAGGGGTTTAGGGTTTAGGGTTGACAGTGAGTAGAACAAGATCTTCAGAAGTGTTCTCGAAAAGCCTTATAACGGTTATTAGAAGGGTTTTCGGGCTATATTGCTTTAGTGCAGTACAGGGGACGAAGTGATTCGAATAGGGCTTGGGTACACCTACAAGGCATGCAGGGAACACTTGTATAGATGATTCAGCAGACTCATACGTTGCCTTTTGTTTTTGCTCTGAGTTGGGACTGGGGAAGTCATTGTTAAACATGTGGGCAGTTCATTAAATTAGGGCTTCTTTTAGGGTCCTTTTTATACGGGTGCCGCCAAACTCTCAGACAGTACTGAAGGGAAAACTCCACTACACCCTAAACATCCCTAAACCTCAAACCCCGCGAAAGAGGCAAGCTCTAAACCCTAAGCGGCTCAATTTCCTCCTATCACTCTGTTGGGCTCATGAAGATCTTAGGAACCCTTTTTGGGAACTTGCCCAAACCGCATACCTTCAGCAGCAGCGGCAGCCTTCTTGTAGTATCTCAAGAGCAGCGGGAGCACAAAGGTCCTAAATTCTGAGTGCTGCCCGAAGCCTTAAAGCCCTAAGCACAGAAGAGCCCAAACCCTACACCTTACCTGATCCCTAACCAACTGTTTAGGGTTGCTGGTTGTGTTTCCTATACAAATCATCAACAACGGCAGGTGTTAAGGGCCTTGCACCTAAAGCTCCCAAGAGACCTGCAATATCAGGCTCCCGGAAGCAGGTCTTGGGCAGCTCCCTGGCCCTATTCTGGGCTTTCTTGGGTTTAGGGTTTCGGGTTCAGGGTTGAGGGTTTGGGGGTTAGGATGGTTTAGGGTTTGGGTTTACGGTTTGGGGCTCAGTTCAGGCCGGCATGAGGTGGTACAGGTGCCGTTGTTTGGTTCAGGGGGCTTGGTAGATTGTCTCAAACCGGGTTCAGGTCAGGGTGTACACTTTGGAGGTTTTGGGGTCTAGTTGTTTTTGGCATGTTGGGGGTTCAGGGTTAAGTTTTGAGACTGGGATTGTGGTGGGTTCGAGATTTCGACTTGCTGACGGTGAAGGTTTCGAAGTTTCTTGGGGTTCGAGGTCAGGGGCTGTTTAGGGAATCAGTGCAAACACAGATGTTACGTCTTCTTAGTCTCCCCAAATGTAGGAGCCTGACAAAGATGCCCTAGGTTCTTCATCCCCAATTGAAGAAGTCTAAATCATCTACATCGGAACGCAGGCATTCTTCCAGAGATCCCAATACCCCTCAAGGCATATACCTTAGACTAAAGGGGGCTTCATATGATGATTTAAAGTATATTCCTTGATTAAGGGGTATTGGGTTCTCTGGGCCTAAAGGTCCCGTGCAGCTGAGGTTCAGCATCGGCCGGAAGGCCTGTTGCCAGTTGAATCTGCCTGAGGTGCCCTTATGGGGGGGATGGGGAGCGGGAGGGTTCGTGGGTTTAGGCTTTCGCATCACTGTCCGGGTCCACCTCTCAACTAAGACCTAAAACTAAAGCCTAAATCCCTAAAAAATCCTGATAGAATCCTACTAGAAACCTGATAGAACCCTATCAGCAGGGCGTTACGGGTTCTTACACGCGGGCATGTACACTTGTAAGCCTGCTTATGCAGCATTGAACATCAAAATCCGAACGACCAGTGCCCTGAACACTGCATAAACCCAAAGAGCGTCCTTGACATACAAAAACCCAGAGCCTCCAAAGCCCCTTAATTAAGGAATATACCTTAAATCATATTATGGATCCTACTATACTTTCAGGTATATTCCTTAATTAAGGGACATTGGAGGCTCTGGGAAAGTCTGAGACTCGTCCCGAAAGCCCTCTCTCAGTCCAAGAGCAAACTGGGGCCTGGACTCGTTTTCATTCCGGTAGTGCCTTCTGAGCCCATTTGGGAGTTTCAGAATATCAGGCGGTACCTTATTTTGGGGCCCTTATAATAAGGGTCCCATTATTTAGGGTAGTATATGGCGATTTCGCGGAGCGACTAAGTTGTCTTTTCTGTTTTCATAGCTGCCGGTTCAGCAGCGCAATGATTAATTATTTATCGTTTTGTTTCCGGCATGCTTTATGATGTGAGTCTTTGACTCACAACGAATTTTTGGAGAACTATTTTGCGTTAAGTTATAACTTCACTCAAACAACACATGCATTCCGATTGCACTTGTTGATTGAAGTTGAACTCATGCGTGAACACCCACGCCGTTTCGTACAGCATGGCTCGTCGCACATGTGCAACATGACATCTCAATCAGCTCATGAGCTACGCAGCTTGAGCATGCACTGTGCAGCAGAGCTTTGCTAAGAATTTTCACGTAGCGGGGGGCCGGCTGATGGAGGCCTGAGGAGCCGACTCTGACTCTGAGCATCTCAGCTCCTGCAGCACGATCTCGGCCATTTCGCGTCACGTTTTCGACTTGCAGATTCAGTTGAATCAGGTTCAGCAAGAGAATCGGGTCCTGAGTGATCGTGCCGAGTATCTTGAGGGTCGTGTGCGCTCCTGAGAGCAGTCTCAGTCAGCTGCTGATCGCCGTCTTGTGTGGCTGGAACGTTGTGTTCAGCAAATCCGAACTTTGGCCTCGAATCTGTGTGGGCCATGAAACGTGACTCTGATAGCCTAACAGATTTGGTCGCACACACCCAGTTGTGCGATTACAGGGCCAAACGCATTCAGATGCCTTGGGATCAAGGGGTTTTTGGTCTAGTCTTTGGGTCCCCTAGGCCTCCTGCACCCTTGGTTCCCCTCCCAAGCCCATCGCCTCAGCTTGCAGCCGGTGTCAGTTCGGCGATACAGCAAGCTCCGCAAGATGCTCTGCCCTCGGCCACTCAAGCCTTTGCTCGGCAGCGGGCTCGTTTTGCTGCGCTGATCCGGTCAGATGACTCTGTGCGCTTTGAGGCTTTACGCAAGATTAAGACTCTGACTTTACTTGATCCTGCTGCATCAGAGCTGGGGCGGCTTCTCATCAGCGAAGCCGCGATTTTGTCTGACCCTGAGAGACTTCAGAAGTCCTTTGCTGACACGTTCGCTACGAAGAGCACTGCAACATTGGCCAAGAGAGCTTCCTCCTTCTGGAAGTTCGCCGAGTTTTGCTTTATGTTCGATTTTGGCTCGCCCGTTCGTGCGAGTGGGGCGGCTGTCTATGCATATATTCAGGACTTACAAGCCCATGGAGCTCCCACATCAGCCAAAGCCTTTCTTGAAAGCTGGAATTTTCTGTCTGCGCTTTTGGGTTTCGCAAAACTTGCAGGCCAATCTCCTTTGTCAGGCCGAGTGCGAGGAGCTGCTGCAGCGTTGGCGGCCACCAAGAAGCCGCTGGTCCAAGCCTCACCATTGTCAGTTCCAATGATTCGGGCTCTGGAAAGAATTGTGGTGAAGCCTCCGTATCCTCATTGGCGTGTGATTGCAGGGCACATTCTTTTCTGTGTGGGAATCTCTTCTCGCTTTTCGGATACAATTCACCTCAAATCTTTGGAGCTTCAGAGCGCGGGAACCATACATCTTCTGGAAGCATCCTCTGCGTCTTACAAGACTGGCACCGGCGAACGGAAGACCATACTTCTGCCGCTGCTTTGCCTGGGCTCTTTCGTATACCCCACGATTTGGGCGCCGCTGTGGATGGAAGCCCGAGCTGATGCTGGCCTTGGCCTCAATCCGTCACTGCCTGCCTTCAGCGAAGCCTCGCAGTCTTGGTTAGAACGTCGCATGTCCACTGGTGAGCTAACAATGTACCTGCGTGAACTTCTGGTGGCGTGTCATCTTGACATACCTTCGGAGTCTCGCATCAGCAGTCACAGCATGAAGGCCACCTTTCTCAGCTGGCTAGCCAAGTTCGGAGGTGTTTCTTTGGAGGACCGCCGCATCGCAGGGCACCACTTAGACCCTGAGTCCCGGTCCCCTTCGACTTACAGCCGTGACGAGCTGTGCCGCCTGATGAAAACCTTCGAGGATATCCTGAAAGCCATCCGTTCCGGCCATTTTAAGCCTGATGACAGTCGCGTGATGCGTTTAGCTGTCATGGTTCAGGCTGAGTCAGGCCCCCAGCTGCAGGAGAAACTCCTTGAGCAGGACCCATGTGTTTCCGAATCCGAAGCTGGTGATTCCGACATCAGCCCGGAAGAATTGGGAGGCCCGAGCCGGTGGCGTCCCTTTGGACGATGGCTTGAATGCTGCTCAGATCTCTTCTGTATACGGCAAGATGCACATTTACAGTCGTACAGTGCATATACAGGCTGCTGAAGGTGCCAAATTTTAGTGTGGCCGACCCATCACCCGCAATTTTGACGAGCTAGACAAGGCCGTCCTGGCCTCTGATCTGCTTGTTTGTAAGCGGTGCAGCCAAATCCACCGAGCCAGTTAAATAGCTGGAGTACGTATTGCTATTCTCGCAAAAGAAAGCTTGTTCAGCACGAGCAGCCGAAAGACCCGGGTAATCGGAGAAATTTCTCTCCCAGCCCGCAGTGCCAAGCCGGGTCTATGAGCAACTACATCTGCGCTGGCGGTACTCGGGGCACCTCAACCCCAAGCCGTTGGACGCCTTGGAACACTGTGTGTCTTGCAAGCTGTTTTCCGCATCCCGGGTATCTGGCACCATCCTGGGCGCTCCTTCTTGCTGTGTGGTACACTGCGTGAGCTGCGAGCGTCTGGAGTTCTTCACAGCTCTTGTCCACTTGTGTGCAGTTTTGTTCAAGCCGGCTGCCGTGTGAACCATGTCCAGCCTCGACAGCAAGGCGGCCTTCAAGGCCAGGGCAATCGAGCTCAACTTTCCCGAGGAAACCCTGACCAAGCTCGCGGCCATCAATGTGGACACGTTCGGAGCCCTCGCCTTCATCGGGCCTCTTCAAGCTGGTACGACCGATGAGGGTCCGCTCATCAGCATGCTGAAACGTGCTTTGGGCTCAGCTCCTGACGACGGGCTTTTGAGCATCGCTCGCCGCCTGTGGTTCGAGAGCACCACTCAGGCTCTCGCTGAGATGCGTGGCCAGGTCGAGCGCACCGATGCTTCTGAACCAGTTCGGATGCCCTTGGCCGAGCGCACCCAACGCCTTGCTGCTCTTCAGAAGAGACTTGTGGGTATTCACTGGACCTCTGACATTGAACCTTCCCATAAGCTACAAGACTTGGTTGCTGAGATGGTGTCTGATCAGTCCTTGCTTTGGATTCCGTGGGATCGCCTCACGAGCCGAGCTTTGGAGATTACATCCGACAAAACCGATCAGGCGGTCAGCTTTGACAGCGCCGGGAACCTCAAGCTCGTGAAACGGTCGACCGAGCCCTCTTGCAGTACCATCGGCGAATACGCCGTTAAGCTGGCACTTCAGAGGAGGAGTTTGGCTTTCGAACTGGCAAGAGTTTGTCGTTACGAGTACCTTGAGTCCTGGCACGATCAGTTGCTGCAGGTGCATATGCGATCCCAGCCTTCAGGCCATCAACGAGTTTCGATTGCTCAGCTTCGTGAAGCCGACAAGTTTCTGTGGACGAGGATCGCCGAGGACACGCGTGGCTCACTGTCCATGCGCTCAGATGGCTCGTACCCCTTTGAGGCCTCGCTTGCCAAGTGGAAGGATCACACACAAGTTCAGTGCTACCTGCTTCCGCTGATGCGATCCCCGCCTCCGCCACCGACTCCACACATGCCCAACAAGGACGGGGAGAAGGGCGGCAAGGACAAACTTCAGAAGACTCCGAAGATTCGCAAGGACACTCCCGGAGCGGAGAAACCCAGTGGCTCCGGAGTCAAGAAGTGGAGCGTCCCGGAGGGTTGCCACTCTCAGGATGCGGCTGGCTGGAAAGCCGCTGCGTTCCAGCTTCAACACCAAGGGCTGCGGGTTCGCTAAACCCGGCAAGCGCTGCCGCCGTGGCCGCCACCTGTGCTGGAGGTGCTTGGAGCCGCATCCGGCCTCTGAGTGCCCGGAGTTTCAGTGACCAGATTCTGCAGCTGCCGGCGTGATGACTCCTTCATTCAGGGATGACGAGACCGGTGGCAGGCGTCTTGCGGCCGAGGAGTTGGCCGACCAGCTCCTTGCTCAGCCCACTGTTACTTCGGATGATTTGTTACGTCTTAGTTTAGCTTTGCCTCCAGAGGGCGCTCTGTTAGTTTAGGGGCTTTTGCTTTTTCAGGATCGCAGTGCTTGCGTGTGCGTGACACTAGCAGGCATTACCCCTTGAGCACTAAAGTTTTGCCAGATTCGTACGTCAGCTTGACAAGGATTTCACTTGCACAACCATTGCAGTCTTCACAAGCCTTCGAACACAGCTTCATCAAGATACCGCCAACGATTCACGAAGCCGCAACCTTCTTTTTCCGCTGTCTTCATTTTCTGAAGGAGACGTCTGGATCGAGTCCCCTCAGGGAAAGGTTCCTTTCGAACACAAGGGCGAGGTTCTTTGGGGACACTCACTACCGGTCTCCCAGGGGCTTTGCTATCTTGATGCGCCGAACCGCCGACATGCAACTTTGGCCTGGAAAGGAGAACGCAGTGTTCTAGTGGGCTACACGGCCCAAGGAGCTGATTGCATTCCTCAGGAGACGCGTGCCTTCCTTGAGAGCTTGGAGTTTCCCTTGCCCCCCGAGAGCCCCAGGTCCATCCCTAAGACTAATCCCGAGCCCATTAAGCCCTCCCTTGCTGTCGCTGACTCCTGTAAGCCTCTCTTCGTCGAGATCTTCGCAGGCTGCGCACGGCTTTCCAAGCATTGCGAGGCTTTGGGGTTCGAAGTTTTAGCGGTTGACTCTCCTTGGAACCATCATGTACCTGAACACCCGCTCCTTGTGCTGGACCTTACAGAAACCATGTGTCAAAAGCAACTCCTGGACCGGCTGCTGTTGCATCCACCATTTGCCATTCACATCGCCTTGCCCTGTGGTACGGGTAGCCGAAAGCATCTGGGGCTCAAATTTGTTTGTAGGTGTGTGGGTGAGTGGTGCTGTGGAACGAGGCTCTGGGCCCTAAGAGGTTCCGAACAGGTCTCCCTCGACGTTTTGTAGCTTTCGCGCCATAGGCCAGGGCTTGCATTCTGCGTTGGTGAGCCTGTGCCTTTTTCATTTTTCGAAAAGCTGCGACTGTGACCTGTGGATGCAAGGGAGGAATCACTGCTACGAGGATTTTTGCGGGTCACCTGAACCTGCCGCCTCCTCGGATCGTGGTCCTTCAGCTTCTTCTGTCGTGTCAGGGCATATTCCGGAACAGGGGACGTCTACGAATCCTGCACAGGACTTCTGGCCTGGATCTCGGCTCTCTCAGCAGCAGACTGGTTATTCACATCTGGCTCAGTCATCTGGATTTCCGTTGTGCTCTCAGCTGGAACAGGGTCCTTTGCCTTCTTCGTCTACAGGACAGGGTGCAGGCGTAGTGCAGACAGCTCCGTGTTCGTCACAGTCGCTTGGTCTTCCGTTGCGCTCTCAGCTGGAACAGGGTCCTTCATTGCTGGGCAGTCAGGCATTGCCATTGACAGATCACAGGGCACAGGGCATACAGCAGAGCATCTTGCAAGTGGCTCAGTCGTCTGAACCTCTACTGTGCTCTTCGCAGGAACAGGGTCCTACATTGCCTCCCAGGGAGCAAAGTGCACAGGTGTACAATTCAAATTTGGACCAGTCGTCTGGATTTCCTTTGTGCTCTCAGCCGGAACAGGGTCCTTCGCTCTTCTCTGCGGGCCCGGAACAGACCTACGAAGACTATTGTGATCAGGTCGTATTGCAGGGTTCTTACAGCCAGACACAGCCATCAGGCCTTCCTTTGTACACGCAGCGGGAGCAGGGTCACGATTTACCCACAGGGCACTTGGAGTGGACCACAGAGCAGTATCTTCTGGCTATTCGGCGTGCGGGGGCATTGGCATATTTGAGGCATCTCCTGGAACAGGGTTGGCCAGCACAGGACGCCAAAACCTATATTTTGTTGGCTTTTCGTGGTCGGGTCAACGCAGTTCTACCTGGAGCGCTGATCGCCAACTTGCTTCGACTGCTTCCAGCGCAGTCACAAGAGTATTTTCATCAGGAACTTCTGCACGTGCACCACAAGCACCGCAACTCTCAGGTTTTCGCCGCCTTTTTGCAGCAGCGCGCTGCCGGGCGGCCTTTTTCATCTACACCTCACCAATAGGTCGAGATGGCTCTCGACCAGCAGTGCCCCCCCGGGTCCCAAGTCCCGGGTCCGTGGAGTCCCATGCACTTGAATCGTCCGTTGTACACTCAGACTGATACAGATCGAGCAGGACACACCGATTGTAGCCTACAGGATGTCTTTGAGTACATTTCACAACATGACGGTACTCCTGATTTGTTGGATTGCTTCCCTTGGGAGCAATGTGCCGATCAGGTGCTTTATGGCAGTTATGAGTATGACTTTGACCCGGAGTCCTCTTCTCAGCTGTTTCGGCAATCATGTGCATGGGAGGATGAGGAGATCTTTTACTCGACTTTATTTCAACACTTCTCCACGGAAGATGCGAGGGTTGCAGGGAGTATTGGCGGCCCTGCTGAAGCTCACGGACATGTTCCACAACAGGACACCACGGGAGCGAAGCCAGCCAATGGGCACAGGAAATGGAAGGAATCTCACTTCAACTCAGTCAAGAGGGCGCTTCAGCGCGCACGAAAGCGAGCTCAGGCCAATGGACAAACGACCTATCGAGGCAAGCTCGTCACCAATGCCGATATTGGGATGTCTGGACAGTCCTATTCCGCTCAGGATCACTTTTCGAAGCAGCCGGGCAAGCGCCAGGCACGGGACCTGGGGTTCATGGAACGCATTCTTGCACCTTGGCCCCCACGAACAGGCCCACCGCTTGAGTCTTTTGTTCAGCCGCTCCGCAAGGGTCAACTTTCGGTTTTGACTTTGAATTTGGGTGGTTTCTCGAAGGCAGGCTTCGATGAGTTTCAGACTTGGTTGCACTCTGACAATGTGGTATCTCATGTCCACATCATCTGCCTGCAAGAAACATGGAGACCGTCCTCAGAATTCACTAGTTCGGCGTGGCACTGGGTGCAGTCAGGTCTCCTGAAATCACAGCATCAGGGAGTGGCGGTGCTCATCAACAAGAGTCTCGCATCGGCTGGCTGCATCCGTTTTGCTGAGGTTATCAAGGGTCGTTTGTTGAAGGTCCAGCTTGCTGCCGACGCTACTCACCATCTACGGCGCAAACCCATCACCATCTTCAGCATCTACCAGCATGCCAAGGTTTCCGAACAGGCCGCTGTCTACGAGAAACGTGAACGCTTATGGGAACACATCAACAAGGCCTTTGCCTCCGTTCCAGGCAGACACCTGTTCATCGCGGGTGGTGACTTTAATACCCCGCTTTCGTCATCGGAGTTTCATGTTGGTGCGGGCACGGTGAAGTCGACGGTCGTCCCTCGTGACTCGGACCGGTTTGCTTCACTATTGGTTGATCATGGCCTAACCGCGCTGAACACCTGGAGGTCTCCGCAGGCTACGTACCTTGATGACAGTGGTGGAACTCAGAGCACCAAAGGCACTCAGATTGATTTCTTGTTGGCACGTACACGTCAGGCAGGTCGAACTGGACGGGCTGCTCAGGCGCTTCCGCATATACATCTGGCCTCCTGGCGCAATGGTGCCCGACATGTTCCCGTGGCGGCGCTCTTCACAGACACCCGTGCAGAATGTAAGCGCGGTCCGCAGGCTGAACGGCTTCATCTGTCCAGGGATCACATGGTTGAGTGTCTCAGACACTCTGACGAACACCGTGGTCGGTTCTGCGCTGAAGTACAATGCCGGCTGAACTAGACGTGTTCCACAGAATCTCGAGACTATCTTCCACCATGCAAGGTTGATGCCATTCTGCGAGATGTATCTCAGGAGCTATTTGCAAAGAAACGGGTGGATTATGTCAAGCCTTGGCAATCTTCCGATGTCCCACTTTCTCTCAAGGGTATCTGGACGTAGCGGGCACAGTTGCGGCAACAGCAGCGATCAGCGCGGGCCCGTGTCGTTTTATTGCATCTTCTGCCTCCCGCCTCGGACGGGGGAGCACCTATACCCGTCTCTTCTTCCGATTCAGTTGCGGACCACTGCCTCCGTGGGATCTTCGGTCTATGGCGTGCCACCCATTCTTTCAACAAGCAAGTTCGAGCATTGCAGCGCACCAGTGTGCAACAGCGGCGGGCGCGATGGGACAGTCAGTTGGCTGAGGCAGAATCGGCTCTCAAATCAGGGGCCACGCATCACTTCTATGCCACTGTTAAGCGACTTGCTCCGCGTCAACAGCCCGGGCGAGTTCAGTTGCGTACGCAAGAGGGCGATCTCATGACTATTGAGGATGAGATTCAGGCTCTGTATGATTACTGGCAACCTGTCTTTGATCATCCTACCCTTCCACCCGGGAAATGGGAGCTTGTTGATGGCATTGAGGTCTCCGAGCAGGAAGTCGAACGGGCTTTGCTGAAGATACCACCCCGCAAGGCCACTCAACCGGGGATGGCACCCGGTGCTGCTTGGCACTTCGCTGCGCCTATTATTGCTCCGCATGTTCATGCCTTCTTGCAGGATACGTGGAAACCAGGGCCCATTTCACATTCGGCAGATCTCACAGGCTCATGGCTTCATTTCCTAGCCAAACCTGGCCGGGTTATTCGTGGTCCATCTGATTTGAGGCCCATCGCGCTGCAGCCTGGGGCAGCCAAGGCACTCAGCGTGCTCATCAAAACCCGTCTTCAACCGTTTGTCGATGAGGCGGCCAAGGACTTTCCTCAGTTTGCCTACTTGTGCAATCGGGGTACTGCGCAGGCCATTGGCAGGGTCACACAACATTGTTCGGCTGTGCGGGCTGCGGTCAAAGGCCAATCTCTCACTTTACACGACAAGTTTGCGGGTGTGCGCCGATTGCCATGCTCTGGAGGTTGCCAGTTGGCGGTCGACATGTCCCGAGCTTTTGACTCTTGCCCCCGCAAGCTTCTCCTGGCAGCCCTTCGGCACTTCCAGGTGCCCTCGGATCTCATTGCTCTTATCATGGCGTGGCATGAGAGCAGTCACTATGAACTGGGAAATATGCATCGTTCGGATCTCAGCCGTGACATCTACTGTACCAGCGGCGTGAAGCAGGGGTGTGTCATTGCACCCAGTTTGTGGACTTTGTTCACTTGCTACGTAGGAGCCAAGTTCAGTGAGCATCGGGATGCAAAGTGGATTGATGATCACTTGACTCTTTTTGCAGACGACTTTCACTTCAAGTGGCAGCTGGATTCCCAGAAGGACTGTCGACGTGTGCTTGAGGATTTGCGTCTGATCTTTGAGGTACTACAGGAACATGGTCTCACGATCAACCCGGCCAAGTCCTCTTTCCTTGTGGAGGTACGCGGACCGATTGGGGATGCGTGGCTTCGCAAACATCGGATGCGTGATGCAGAGGGCAATTGGCAGTTTGTTTGGGACCTGCACCGTCGCTTGAAGGTACCAGTCGTGCGATCCTTTCGGTATTTGGGCGTCATGCTCTCATATCACGCCTTTGAAGATGAGACTTTGCACTTTCGCTTGCAACAGGCCCAGCAACATCGCAATCGATTGGCTCGTACTCTACAAGGCCGCGGTGGGCTACGGCTTGAACAGCGTAGACGCATTTGGCTGGTATGTGTTCAGACCTCTCAACTTTACGGCCTCAGTGCGGTAGGTATCACTGAAGCGGGCTACAATCTGTTGCGCATCCAGACGATGAAGCATGTTCGAGCCTTTGCAAAATCTCCGCGGCACCTTACCCAGGAATCCGATCGCTCTCTTTTGGACAGGCTTGGACTCTGTGCTCCCTTGCAGACGTTGATGCAGCAGGTGGATGGGATTTATCACCGTTTGGAGCAGCCTGAATTCAGCACGCTTCCTTGTTATGACAATGCAGGCCTGCTGGGATGGTTCCGGGGTATACGAGACGACCTGCGGCTGCTTGCGACCAAGACTCTGGGAGACAGCGTTACATCGGAACCCCCGCCGGAAGCCGGTGTGCAGGATGTGCCGACTGGGGTGGTGTTCGACCCGCCGGTCCTGCCAGCGACTGAGGGTACTACGACGGTCCCGGCCAAGCTTGTCTCCATGCCACCTCAAACTCCTCAATATACCTGCACTGTTTGCGGCCAGCAGTTCACAACCTTGCATCAGGTAAAGACTCATGAGGGACGTGCGCACAAAAAGTTCGCTCCCAAGCGAGTCGTTGCTGACATTGTCTCCTACGCTTTGAACGGTCTTCCTACGTGCAAGCTTTGTCGCGCATCTTTTACGCGCTGGACTGGTCTTCGCAGACACATTGAGGAAAATCGCTGTCCTGGTCTTCGGGAGGAACCGGTGCCTGCGTCGCCATTGTACGATGCCGCCGATGCTTCTGGCCCACGGCCGTCTCAGGTGACTGCCACAGCTCTAGACTTGGCCGATGCTGCACAGCCGACTGCAGAAGGTTCGTTGATGGCAACGGGTCCTGTTGCAGCCTCTACTTCTTCGGGTCCTCCGGACTCGGGTCCCGCACAGGCCTTCGAGTCTGAGATCAACAATGCCAAGCCCTCCTCTGAGTGCGCTGAATGTAGTTCATGGAAGCAGGATGATCTTGTTTCGGCGAGCGTTCTTCGACCTGCCATCCAGTGGGACACCGTTTTGAGTATTAGGCCTCCTCGTTGGGAAAGCATAGTCCGTGTGCCCGGGATCGTCTCCAATCTTCAATCCTACTGCGGAGTCTGCGGGAAGTGGATAGCAGAGAAAAAGGGGATGAAGCGCCATTGGCAGAAGTCACACCCTGAGCTTTGGAATTTACACTATCCGCTGGTGCTCCATTGGTGTAAACACTGGGCCAAGTCGGCCCAATCGCCTTGTCAGATCTGCGGGATCAAAGTAGTGGATCATCGTCAACATGCCGGAGGTGCGCAATGCACGGTCATGGTGCAAGCTGCCCTTTTGGAACTTTGTTTGCCAGGCGGACGCGGACGGCCAACTGCGCTCTCTTTTCGGCCTGATGCCGGCGCTACAGGCTCAACAGGCTCAGGAGACCGGCAACAGCATGGACGTGGACAGAACATCCACCAAACGGAAGGATCCAGCAACGAACACAACACGCCAAGGCTCGCAGAAGGGCAAAGGCAAAGGGGGGCGCGGCAAGTAGTGGAGGGGAGGCAATCCCTCCCACCAGAAGCCATCGGGGGATTCAGAAGACTCTTCGGACTTGCGCAGTCTGGTCCAGCACATGGGGCGGATGGTACTGCAGCAAGCGGAAGCGACCAATCGCATTTGCTTGGACTCGGGGTTCCTGCTTGTGCTTCAGACACCGCCCCATCCAGGCAGTGTGACGCGGGCCCTATGCCAGGTGGGCGATGCTTGGAAGCTGAAGGCCAAAGAGGCTCCGACAACTCTAACAATGTCGCTGAAGATGGCGATACTCGAATGTCTCTTTCGGGAATTGGTTGCTCGGGCGAACATGACCATGAACACACCCGATGCCAAGACCGAGGCCCAAAGACTGGGTCTTCTCAAGGAGGACTGTTGGACATATCGTCAATGGAACCCGGCCAAAAGCGAGAATCAGACCACAATGAGCAAGCCTGTTTCCCATCAGGAGTTCTGTCAGGGGGTCGAGGACTTTCTGGCTCACATCCAAAAGTGCGATGGTCTCACCAGGTTCAAGGCCCTGCAGGAGCTTACCTCCGAGACCACGAACGCGGCCGTTCCGTTCCTTCTGGATGTGAGTTTCCGGCAGGATCAGATTCATGCCACGCTGGTGCGATGGATAGGCCTCAGCCCCTTCGAATTGATTGGGGCCAGGATGCGACAGGTCCATGCCAAGGCCTCGCCTCAGCAGACCAAATTGTACGAAATGTTGCGCAACCTGTGACTCGCTCCTCCCTCTGCGCGGACTTGCCACCAGTGACGATGTTGGGCAATGGAGGCAACATGTGCTATGCCAACAGTGTTTTTCTATCTTTGGCGCATTTGTTCAGGGACCGACTGGATCGTCTGGGCGCACCTCTGCGCTCTTTGCTCAGCAAACTTCTCAAGCCTCCCGGTGTTCGCCCGTCCTATGTTACCAAAATGAAGGAATGGCGCACTCTTATATCGGGATGGCAGCAACCTCATCAACAACATGATGTGGCGGAGTTTCTGATGCATCTTATCCTGCAGTCCCATGGGTTACCTGTTCTCAGCAAGTGGTACTCTGAAGGTCCCCCGGTCGAGGCCGCGCCTCGCAACGATCAGGGTGATGGCCTCATTCTTCTTCCGACTTGCAACCCCGCCCAGCCGTTTGCTACAGTGCAACAATGTGTGCAGGGATGGCATCAGCAGCTCCAGAGTCATTATGTCCAGCCGGGCACTGATTTTGTTCTCCTACAGCTTGATCGCTTTGAGCAGCGTGGGCCTTTCATTCGCAAACGTCGGCACCCTCTATTCCCTGGTTCAGGCACTCTTATGCTGCCGACTGGTCCAGGGGATTCGCAGTGGGATGCTTACTTCATTCAAGCTCTGATTCTCCACGAGGGTGATGCGCCTGTGCGAGGTCACTATCGTGCTGCACTGGTGTCTCACACTGCAGGGGCTGTGCGAGTGTGTGATGATAGTCGCGTGCCACGGCTGGCTGTTCCTGCGGACAAAATCTTCGAGAAAGTGTACGTGCTGCTTCTTTCCAGGTGCGCCATTTCTTCCGAGGTCCCCAGAGATGCGTGATTGCAGTGTGCAATTCATGGTCCTAACCATGAGAAAAAAAAATCCTCGCTCTTTCACTCGCTCTGGTTGTGACGATGCTTCTGCTGCAGCCTTGTTCCCTCGCGGGGGGGGCGAGCAGAGGCCTCCGGATATACGTCTGGCTCCTGGCATGCTCTACAAGCTCTTGTCTGCCAGAGTGGATATGGAGTTATTCGAATGGTGTGTATTCTTTCAGGTGTGCAGCCGCCGAGTGCTCCCCATACTGGTGTACGTGGCTCTACGCCCTCTTGTCCGCGCCTTGATCAGTTATGCAGCGTACAGTTCAGCTCTCTCACAGGTGTCCTTATATGTCCATGCAAGCGTTCGAGTTCTGCACTGCCTTTCAATGAGCCCCATGACTGTACCTACCATGGCGTCTGATGCTCTCAGCCCATCATTTCTGACCATTGGTACATCAGGCGGTCTTACTTCCTTGCAGAGGCTTCTCTGGTATGAGACCACGACTTCCTGCTTTTATTACTGTGGGCTCTTCTTTGTTACATAGGACTGCATCGCGTGCTGTCCTGTTCTCTGCCTCTTCGCTATGGAACCACTTTGGTCACCGGAATGTCCGGAGGAGCCTATGCCTGGTGACAGACGACCACCTTTACGCCGGCGTAGGCCTATGTCGGGCGCGGGTAACCCTGTGTCGGAACGTCCGGCGCTGGGACGTATCCGCCCTCACTGGTCACCTCTGCCTCGACGCAGACCTGGTCCCGTTTCCGATGCCATCCGGGGTACTTCCAGTACAGGTTTGAGCGCTGGCCTTGAGCCCAGGACGGTACGGACCAACCCAGCTGGCGATACTACGGCGCCCTCTGTGGCGTCAGGCCTTGGAGGCCAGTCTTCCGCCACCATGGCTTCAGCTGATGGACGGGATCCTGGTCATGCCGATGCTACAGATCGGGGCAATGCTTTACCTATCACTGGCTCTACACCAATGGCTACAGGCTCACCGCAGGTATCAACCACTCCACCGGTCAGGGATATGGTTACCACAGGTGCCTCTACCAGACAGTCGGCCACGGCTGTCTCGGCGAACACCAGAGGCCGCACTTCTGCTACCTTTGAAGATGGGGCCACGGATGGCAAGCGGAAGACCACTGATCGGAAGCGTCGGCGAAAGCCTGCTCGGGCGGACTCTAGTGACTCGATGGCCAATCCAGACCCTGATCGCTACATCCGCCTCTTGTCGGCGGACGGTCGATTTGGTCAACTTATGGCGAAGCGCGATTCTGTCACCCCGGAAAAGGACAGAGTGTCGCGTTCGAGATCGCTCTCGCTCACCAGACGGCGTAGTGATGCCCGGCGCCCCCGGGGAGTCACGGATAGCCCGGGAGCAGCAGCTGTTGCTTCGACACGCCCTGCCAATGCCACCTCCTCGACTACCGGTTCATCCACCTCGACTTCGGCTAAGGAGCTGAAACTGATGCAGGCGCGCCGTGCGTTTGAAGGCAGAGCCGCAACGGTGGTGAGCAAACAGCTGCTTTCCATTCAGAAGGCGCCGGACCTCGACCCGATCACAGCGGAGTATGTTGAGCAGGTCAAGGATTGCATTCGTCAGGACGCACTGTGTATCCATGCGGTCAACTATTTGGCTAAGTTGCTTAAGCGAGCCACGAAGGAAAAGGTACCAGTTGCTGACATGCGAGAACGCGTATATTATATCAACTGAACCGAGAGGAGGCGGCGCTTGGCACTTTCCGCCTCAGTGACCCGCCCATCGTGGATGGCCGTCCTCCTGGGCGTCCTCCCGCTTCTGAGGCCATGCCTGCAGATAGGGCTCCTTCGGATGCAGCTCCTGCTGATGCCGCTCCAGCCACTACGCAGACCCAACAGATGGCAAATAACGTGGCTTTCTTACAGCAGCTCCAGGCTTCCGCCAAAAGCAGACGGCAAGATCTGGTGCAGCGAGCCAGAGGTCTCCAGGCAGCAGGAGATTCTTCGACGACGATTCCGGGGCCTGCCTCTTCTTCAGCTAGTGTACCTCGAGGTTCAATCGGCCGAGTCCTGGCGGCTCGGGATACCAGTATGGCGAGCGTGGAACAAAAACAAGCTTTTGGTGTCTACCTGCATCGGGCCGTGGCTAGGCGGGCTGAGACTCGCGAACAAACCGCCATGCAACTTCATGATAAAGTGCCCCTCCCGGAGATGCCACAAGTGGGGCAGCAGCTCGATGCTCGAGCTCCCGACGCTAGCTCCTCCTCGTCTATGGAACTGCGCTGAGTTTACATTATGGCCAGTTGGACGGGGCTCTATGGAATGGTTCTATGGAATGGGGCACGTGAAATTCTCCCCCCCTCTGGGGAGCTTCTGTATAGATGCTTGCCGTTCTGCCATCAGCGACTGCACTGACGCAACAAAAACTGCCTCCCTTATGCGTGTTCCTGCAGTCAGCCCACCCTGTGGGGTCTTCTGTCCTCTGATTATGACGATGCGTCAGACTTCCTTCTCGTCTGCTGCTCAGGTCTTACGCCCTGCCGGACCTCTGGCGAGGTGCACTCTGCGCGGGGTGTGCTATGGCGGTGGAGTGCCCGCTTCCAGCTGATGTGTACGTTGATGCCCTCGAGAGTTATCTGCTTCTCACTTGTCTGAGGAACCTCGATGCCAGGACGACTGGATGCATGCTTCCCTCCAGCAGTTTGTGTAGCCGCAATGACCTGATTTATTATGGGCGCACAGTTCTGACTGCTGACCTTTATGGAAGCTTCATTCAATATGTGAATCAGCTCAGCGAGGTGCTCCCAACCTACCCAGGCTGCGTACTACCACCGTCCATTGCGCTTACGGGAACCGGGCACAGCAAGGCAGAGACTCTGGCAGCTCACTTTCTGGAAGTGGGCACACCCTCAGTCTGGGAAGCCGTGAGACAGGTCATTCACCACTTGCCTTTTGAGATGCCACGTCATCAGGCTATGTCCACTCGGACCTATGCGAGGAGCTTCACTGTTGGCATTTATGCTCGTCATCAATTGGTGGGACTGTGTAAGTCCACCTTCACACACTCCAATGTTTGCAGACTTCTGTGTGCCTATGTGGAGCATTTATGTGGTTCGTTCAAGTGGACAACGATTGCGGTTCACAAGAACTACTCTGCACCTGTTCACAAGGACTTTGCAAATGGTGCGAGCATGAGTCTTCTTTCCATGGTGAGTACCACAGACCTGGGAGGCATGTGGATTGAGCAGGCGGGTGGCATACACTTTCAGGAGATTCAGGATGGCATGCGTGGTGGTAGCTTCTTCCAATTGCAAGATCAGTTTCTTCTCTTTCCTGCTCATTCCTCCTGGCATGCTACGCAGGAATGGGGGCACTTTGATCGGTACACTATTGTGGCATATACTGTTCGCAATTGGCCTCACTTATCGCCAGTCATGCAACGATCGCTTGATAACCTGGGCTTTCGACTACCTGAACACACAAGGCCGCCCCTACAATCTCCTCCTGTTTTGCCTACGGTCCTACTTGATCCTGACATTTGAGGCTACCATGCTGATGTGTGATGTGGGCTCTTCGTTTACTCCCTGGTACCTATTTCGGGGTCCTGATTGATTGCAGTCTGCGTTCATCGCCTGATTCTGGTTTCTGAGAATTGGTGCAGCCGTTACATTCTTGGATTTCATTCTGCAGTGATGATGCTTGCAATCTTTGCTCATACTGTGAGGCCTTTACGCATGCCAATTTTTACGGCATGTGGCCATGCGGACCGGGGTAGGTGACGTGTGTTGTGAGGCCTTTACGCATGCCAATTTTTACGGCATGTGGCCATGCGGACCGGGATTAGCTATAGACCTCTGTGTAGCTTCGCTTCTTGACTGTAGTGAGCCTGCAGATGAGCTTCTGCTGCTTACCAACGAGTAGATTCCGTTAACTCCTCTCTGCACTGCTGCGATAAGCAGCCGAGTAGCAAGTGTCTACTTGTATGTGCCACGCGAGACACTGGACTTGTCTGCGTTTCAAAGTACGGGTAGCCGAGCCCGAGAAAAGCCCATAAGCAAGAAGGCGAGATTGGCAGGAGAGCCCCGGAGCCTGTACCGCTGAGGGACAAGGATCACATTTTTGGGCTTACCGAACCTATCGGACACCGACCAGGCCCGGGTTCGCAAGCCCAACGATCTGTGTCGCTTCGTTGTCGAGCTGATTCGTGCCTTGCCTTCCTCCACATTTGTCAGCATCGAGAATCCCAATAATTCCTGGATTTGGGGAGTGCTAGCGTTCTTTGTGCAAGAATCTCGAGACTCTGCCCTGCTCGAGAAATGGCGTCGCATGATAGATGCGCGCTTCCACAATTGCATGAAAGGAGGACGACGACCCAAGCACAGTCGCTTTCGTTGCAGTGATTCTCGCTTGTCTAGCATGGCAGTGGAGTGCGACAATCAACATAAGCATGATCCTTACTTGGTTTATCAGACCGGCCGACAGTGGAGATTCAGCACCGCTGAGGAGGCCGAATACACGCCTCAGCTTTGCCAGGAGGTGTCACAGCTGCTGGCCGCGACAGCGGGTTTGCCTTCACCCTTGGAGCCCCCTGCCGGACCCCGTGCTGTCTGGCCCCAGCCCCGCGGGTGCCACAAGCTCATCCCTGAGTTCCTCGAGTTTCGCACCGAGGCCCCCCTAGATAGGCCCTTTAAGGAGTTCACCTCGGGTTTAGGGGGTAGTTCCGGGAGGTTCGGGGTGTACAGAACGCCTACCGAGTTCATCGATTGTGCCCTAAAGCTCAGCCATCCCTTCGACACTCAGCACTGCGTCCCAGATGCCGTTAAAAGGAACATCTTCAGGCGGCTGACCGAAGGACCATCTGCTTTTGCCGAAGAGAGGCTCAGACTTTACAACAGGCTCAACCAGATGGAGAAAGAACTTCGTTACGAGGAGGCGCGACTGCATTCCACTTTGCCTGACCACACTCGCGAAGCCATCAAGGGAAAGAACCTTCTGCTATGGGCACAACTGCTGAAGGAGACAAAATTTCCTGATGAAGGCGTTTTCGACTTGATGATGGGCGTCGATTTGGTGGGCAAGCCGGACAAATCACCTTTGTTCGAAACCAAGGAATCACCGGCTACATCGACACCTGAGCTTCTCCTCGAATCAGCTAGCTGGCGCAGAGAGAGGCTCAAGGGCCGTGATCCGCACGAGAAAGATCCGGAGGCGACCTGGCAACTTTGGGATTGCACTCTGAAGGATCGGGGCGACGGCTTCCTCACAGGGCCGTTCTACGATGAGGACGAAGTGAAAACGCATCTTGGAGTGGATGAGTTCGTCTGTTCGAGAAGGTTCGTCATCGAGCAGGGCACGCCGGAGAGGCCTAAACTTCGACCGATCGACAACTACAAAGAGGGCGGGGTCAACGAGGCTTACCATAGCCTCGAAAAGCTCGCATTGTTTGATGTCAACTGGATGACGGCGATGGCGACTTACATCGCGCGGGTCTCGGATGGAACTGGGAGATTCTTCTCAGCACGGGAGAAATTCTGCGCGGAGAGCTACACCCTTCTTGGAAAGCTAAGAAGCCCATCTGGCAGGGGCGAACATTGGATTTGGAAAAAGCGTATCGTCAAGTTCCACTTTCAACAGAGTCGCTACGACTGGGGGTCGTCATGGTCACGGACCCAAACAGCGGCAAGCCTTGCTACTTCGTGGCCCAGAGTCTACCCTTTGGTGCATCATCGTCTGTCTTTGCTTTCAACAGGCTGTCTCGATCGATCCTGCATTTGAGTTGGACTTTGATTGGCATGGTCTCCGGATGCTTCTATGACGACTTTCCGCTTCTTGAAATCCAATCATCTGCGAAGCTTGTTTCGGAATCGTTCGAACATCTGCTGCGCAAAATCGGGTGGAGGTATTCCAATGACCCAGCCAAAACCTCGCCTTTCAGTGAGAGCTTCGATCTACTTGGAATCCGTCTGAATGCAGGCGACATATCCAACGGCGTTGTGGTTCTCCAAAACAAGGCGTCGAGGCTGGAGAAGATGAAAGACACTTTCATCCGCATGGCGCTGAATGGTGAATGGAATATGCGGCAGCTTCAGTCGTTGCAAGGGCAAGTGAACTTCGCTTTGGGTTCTACTTCGGGAAGGGCTTTGAAGATGTTGCAGCGTGCACTTGGAAGCTTCATCAGAAATCCTGAAGATCGCAGCTCGAGTGACTTCCAGGCACTTTGTGAGTTCGGGATCAGATTGATTGACGAGTGCAAACCAAGAGTGTTTGGCTGCCGGGGGCCTGAACAACCGGTGTTGATCTTCACTGACGCAGCTTATGAAAAAGGCGTCGCCGCATACGGCGTGGTGGTCCTGGATCCCTTCACTTCTTCTAAGCTGGTAGCTGGAGGTCGCATTCCAACGAGACTGGTAGACTTTTGGAAGCTGGAAAGTCCCGAACAGGTGATTGCTCAGGCTGAGGCGTTCGCCGTGGTCCTCGCGAGAGAATCTTTCCGCAGCTTGATACATGGGAGACGAACCATTTACTTCATCGACAACGAGGGAGCGAGAGAAGTCCTAATTAATTAAAGGAGCGAGCAAGTCGCGTACGCTCCTGCTTTTGGGAGCGCGTTTCTTCGAGATGGAAAACTTGGATCAAAGCTTGACGTGGCTCGAGAGGGTCCCATCTGCTAGCAACGTGGCAGACGGGCCCAGTAAGCCTCGGGGCTCAAGTCGTCATCGGAGCGGTAGTTCGGGGTTGGGGTGGTTTTTGTGTGTCTGTTGGGTCCCCCTTTCCCGCTTGCCCCTTCATTCAGGGTTCAGTAGTACATGCCATGGCCACTTCTTTGCTGCTCTAGACAATGTCCAGTTCGCTGGCGCGTCTTCAATTTTCAACTACAGAGGCGATGTTTTGGATTCAACTGCTTTGTGCCACTTCTACGGAAATTGAGGCAGCATATGCAGTGGGACGGCTGCCCCCCATTCCTTCCAGCTGCTGCTTTGGTAAGTACGAACGAGACCACCAATTGCAACTCTTTGACGGTCTGGCCACCCCGGTGGCTTGCGTGGAGAGCTGAGAAGGCCGGTGCTTGGCCCACTGTGTGGCACCAATTTGTTGAATTCCATTGTCTCTCTGCCAGCCCTTTCAACTTCGTGTCTGAGCAGGGGTATGTGGTCTCCACTCCCTTTCTGGGCAGGAACGTGCAGTCAACTTTTTCTGCAATTGCTGGACGAGTGGTTTCCACTTCCATCCTGCGCACGCACAACGACTATGCTCGGGCGAGTGGTCTCCGCTCCTGGATTGCACTGGTTGCCAGAATACCTCGAACTATCGCTTTGCATCATTATCGAGCCCACCCGGTCCCAAGTCCGGGCAGCGCAGCAGCATATTTACCCAGCCTTTGCAACACGAAGGGCTGCGCTCGAGGTGAGGGTTCCTACTCCGGCAGGGGTAGGGGGACCCAACCCACCGGGTCACCACAGTCAAGCTAAGGTGGGGAAGACTGCACAAGGCAGTACACAAGGCCTCGCCAAGAGGAGCTGCAAGATGAAGAGGCACTGCAAACCGGCTGATGAGCCGGGCTCTTAGGGGCGCTCATACTCGGCTGATGAGCCGGGCCTTTCGGGGCGCTCATCTTCAAGGAGTGGCCAAGCGAGGTTTTTTCCTATTGGTTTTTCTGCTCCGTCTTTTACATGGAATTTGATTGCATGCGCAGCAAGGGTGATCGTCATTGCTTTTTCCTACATAGTGAAGGACGCTTCATTCTCATCACTGGTCTCTCGTTGTGGCGGCTACCCTTCTGGCCGACGCTTTTCCTTCTTGGATCGTATGACGGCAGGACGATGCGCTAACGTGCCTGCCGGGGGTGGCTACATTGCCCAAAGCAATGGTGACCATCGAAGTACTAGTGACGTGCACCTACTCGCTTGGGCTCACTGCCGCGGCTCTGGTGCAAATGAAGCATTCTGCACTCACTGCAAGCGATCGCCAAGTGGTACAGCATATTTTGTTACATGTGGTTGGCCTCATATCTTGTTTACTTTTATTTTGGGCGACACTTTTATTCAACCTTCCGCTGGCAATAATACAGGACGGGACGACAGCAACACCTGCCGCAGAGGCCGTGGCTGCCTTAATACTCTTCTTGCGCGGTCTGTCGTCGCAGCAGCCCCTGGTGCTCGCTGCAACCTTTGGCGCTCCGCTTTCTGCGTCTTGATGCGGCAAGCTATGGTAGGTTGGAGGTCTCCTCACCCATGCAGGCTCTCACACTGCCAACGGCAGTTCTTGCAGCAGACGTTGTCTTGGACTGTCCAGCTGAGCCGAAGTGAGAGCGACTGCTGAGCAGGGTTTGAGGTCTCCTCACCCAGGCAGACTGTACAGATGGTGCCTACAGTGTAAGCCTGTTAACACTGCCAACGGAAGTTCTTGCAGCAGACGCCGACGTGCGAGCAACTGCTGAACAGGGCCAGAGGTCTCCTCTCCCACGCAGCTTGTACAGAGGATGCTCAGGGTGCAAGACTATCGACATTGCCCTCCAAAGTTCTTGCAGCAGACGTCTCTGCCACTTTCCTGAGGCTTTGTGCTGAACTGCTCTGTTTATTTCCTTTCTTTAAGTGAGTGGTGCGAGGTCTCCTCACCACAGCAGGCTGTACATTGGAGCATCTAATTCGTAAGTCCTTGTCATTTTGATTTCCATGCCAAGCGAAGGACAGTGTATTTGATTTGCCCTTCACTTCATATCTAATTTCTTGCTGTGCTTATTGCATGTCTGTTGCCTTGGTTAGTAAGAGCGAGAACGCCGAGACAGCAGTTGGTTTCAGTACTCTTTGTCGTGATCGCTTCGCAACGGAGCCATATCACGCGCAGTTTCCTCTTGGCGGACCCTCTACGGAGGGGTGACAAGGTTCACACTCGCCCGCAAGACGGCTGACTCAGCTGAAGCGATTGAATGAATGAAAAACGACGGGCCCAGTCGTGGCGAGATTGCCGAGACGGCGAAGATCATTGGAGGTTCGATCGTTGATCTGCAGGAGAAGGCAGAAGATCTTGGAGAGTTGTGCAAATCCACTGTAAAGATACCTTGGAAGCTGCTCAAGTAGACCGGTCACTTTTAAAGGGGGTTATGCGTGTTGGGGCAGAATCGGTATCATGCACAATTGAGCGATTGCGAATCTCACCGCATATTTGCTCGTGCCTCAACCGAAACCCGCAACCAGTGGCATGTGCCACATCTGACGTTTCAGACTCGCCCTACCGTGTGAGACCCCCGACTGGAAAAAGACCGAGTCCGAGTGAGAGCGTTCTTCTGAGGAATTTTATATATTATAGATTGCGATTCTCAAATATAGACTGATTGAATTCGCACTTTGTTTATCGATAAATCAAATCATTGTGAAAACAGAAAGACGGCGATTTCACGGAGCGACTAAGTTGTCTTTTCTGTTTTCATAGCTGCCGGTTCAGCAGCGCAATGACTAATTATTTATCGTTTTGTTTCCGGCATGCTTTATGATGTGAGCCTTTGACTCACAACGAACTTTTGGAGAACTATTTTGCGTTAAGTTATAACTTCACTCAAACAACACATGCATTCCGATTGCACTTGTTGATTGAAGTTGAACTCATGCGTGAACACCCGCGCCGCTTCGTACAGCATGGCTCGTCGCAAATGTGCAACATGACATCTCAATCAGCTCATGAGCTACGCAGCTTGAGCATGCACTGTGCAGCAGAGCTTTGCTAAGAATTTTCACCCACCCTCCCGCCCTTGAGGGCTTTCGCCCGATGTATTGGTGGGGGGGTTATGCGTGTTGGGGCAGAATCGGTATCATGCACAATTGAGCGATTGCGAATGTCACCGCATTTGCTCGTGCCTCAACCGAAACCCGAAACCAGTGGCATGTGCCACATCTGACGTTTCAGACTCGCCCTACCGTGTGAGACCCCCGACTGGAAAAAGACCGAGTCCGAGTGAGAGCGTTCTTCTGAGGAATTTTATATATTATAGATTGCGATTCTCAAATATAGATTGATTGAATTCGCACTTTGTTTATCGATAAATCAAATCATTGTGAAAACAGAAAGACTAAGGTTCCCTATTTTCGGAAACTCCCATTTGCGCCCAAGAACCTCAAACCCTGCAGCTCTCAAGCACAGAACCCTAGGATCCTCAAAAAACACGGCCCTAAAGCCGCGAGACGCGGGCGAATCCATGCTCAAGACACGACCTGGTTGAGGGACTCTTACTGCTTAGGGTATAGGGTTGAAGGCTTAAGGGTTCGGGGTCTAGGGCTCAAATTCAAGAGTCGAGGGTTTGAGGTATGAGGAACCCTCGCAGACGTGGCAGGTCCGCCATGAAGGCTCCTTTCTGAAGAGCAGCCCGCCACAAAAGCAAACGCAAGTCCTACCAGCTTTCAGCCTTTGCGGAACTCGTGTACTAGCCCGTATAGAACCCTTATGGCAGCCCTTCTAGTAGGACTCGTAGTAGGCCTTCATGAACGCTTATAGTAACCTTGACAGAACCTCTGAGTCTCACAGTAGTGACGACCCACCATCCCGGAAGGAATATGCCTATGTCAGCGGGGAGCATTGTCGGCTGAAGACGGTGGTTACCCAAGTACTGCTGAGGTAGGTGGGTTTGAGGTTTAGGGTGCATGAGTGTGGAATTTGAGCGTTTGAGTGCAGGGAGAAGGCGGTGGTCGGTTTCGGGGGCTTAAACTTGAGGGCCGGGGGGGGGGTGTCGAAGGAAAGTCAGAGTTGAGGGCTTAGAGGGCAGGGCGTCGAAGTTACTTCAACTTCTCTTCTTAAGCCCCGGAGTGCTATCCATGTGCTGCTGCAAGGTTTGGGTGTTTTGGGGCGGCCCCAAACTATGAACCCCCTAAACCCCTCAACCCCTAAATCCCTAAACCCATGAATCCTAGACCCTAAACATAAAAAGCCGCAGGAAGCCCTGAAGGCCTTAAACCAGGTGAGTGTCTCGGAAGATTGCAATCCTACAGTGAAGATTTAGGAATGGGAGTTTCCGAAAATTAGGGGTACCTACCATATTTTGGGGTCCTTGTAATCAGGATCCCACTATTGAAGGTACGATATTAGGGTCCCCTATTTGCGGAAACTCCCAAATAGTTTTGAGTTTTGGGTTGTAAAGACTCCCCAAGAAACAGCTAAAGTTGCAATTTTTGCTGGGGGTTCCAAGTTCAGGATAGAAGAAGTAAGAGCAGCAAAAAATGGAATCATATCAAGGATCATGCTGTAGGAATGATGATAACACGAATTGTAGTAATATTCATAATCTCTTTCAAAAGAGTAGCAAAAAGGAAGTCAGAGTAAGAATCACAGTAATCGTGATAAGAATATTTGTAACAATGTTCACAAGATCTTTCATAAGAGCCATCAGGAAAGTAGTCATAAGGACAATCATCGCAACAATTGCAAGAACACAAGCGGCTGAGGGTTTGAAGTCAGGAGTAAGAGTCAGATCCCATCCCCAAGGCTTGGACACAGCCCCGACTCAGCAGCAGTTGAATAGTATCTTCAAAGAACCCTCAGTAGTAGCCCTATAATAGACTGTGACGGCATGAGGGCAGTA